TGTGAACCACACGTGTCACGAGAGTTTCTCTGTCGAACGGGGCAAATCTCACACAAGAGACGTCAGGAATGCTATTTGAAAGCAAGCTCAATGACTTGCTCTCAATATTCACCCTCAGGACCACATCAGTGGATCCTTGGTGGCCCTGGGCTCTGGCTGCAACTTTTGGGCACTGGCCTGGTGCATATAACTGAGATGGGGGTGGGCCCCCAGGGGTGAGTTCCCTCTCAGAAACGTACCCACCTGGGTTTCAGACTTTGCGTCAGGATGACTATTGTCATCCGAGAGTCACTGAGGGCTCTTAAAGACTCTGCTTCGCAGGTAATTGGATGAGAGACCCTCTGGCTGGAGTTGGCCCTTGGGAACAGCTGGGGTTGCGGCAGGTGTTTGCCCTCCCTGCTTGAACTACTGGATTCCATTGCCAGACCGGCAGTGGTCCTGGGAACTTTAGCCTGCCACCCTGTGATACTGAGTCTGGGGTGGCGCAGGAGCTCCTAGCCTCCATAGCCCCACAGACCTGTCCCAGAGAATAGAGGGTCTGGGACATACGGGGGGTCACACGCTATGTCAGCTTTTTGCCTCCGGGCAGTTGCCATGCGATCTGGCATTGGAGGGCGTTTTCGTCAGCCCATTGCCATGGAGAGATCACTCTTTGGTTGCCCTCCAGCTTGCTGTGCCACATATCCCCACAAGCAGACAGGGCCCTTTGGAACGGCCTCCCCCGGACAACTGATGGGCCCTGTGAGGTTCCAGAGGGAACTTAGGGTTTAGGCCCTGAGCATCTGGCAAGCAGTGCAGCTAAGCCCTTATATTCCTCCTAAGGAATAGCGAGGTGGCTGAGGCCCTGGACCGGACTGCTGCTTACACAGCCTCTCTCTCGCAACGATCCTGGGGTGCACCTTGGTTTTCCTAGGAGCTCCAGGAGGTGAAGAGCCAGAAATGATGCCTGGAGTGCTGCTGGAGAAAGTCGAAGAGTGAACCTGACTGAACATGAGTAAGAGCCTGTATTCAGGCCTATCCTGTGGTGATAAGGGCAGCAAAACACTGCTCTTTCTCCACCCTTGTTGTGTCCACTGATAGCCACCCAATGGCATTGTTCAGAATGACCTGCTCCCTGCTGGGGCAGGCCAGGTCGCAGGACCATCTCCAGGACTTTGGTGAAGGGCATTCATGCTATTTGGTGGATAAAGTCACTCGAATTTGCTTTAAGTTGGACTCTGGGCAGGTCCAAGTGAGTTGTCTGGACCAAGTTCAGTTCTTTAACTCTTAAGGAAGTGGACGAGGGCCTTCGATCTGTCAGCTTGGGCACCTGTTTGTTAGATCCTAGCTCCTGCTGGGTTGTCAAGGCAGCTTTGACCAAGGGATGGGTCCATGCAGTGGTATTATCCTGTTTAAAGGAGAAGGTGTCCCTCTGGCCTGCATGCTGATGGTATTCAGCTCTACATCTGAACCCTGGGCTGCGCAGGTAAAGCTGTCAATGTAGTAACCCAGTGTCTGGAGGCTGTTCAGGTCTGGGTGGAGAGGAACAGACTTTGGCTCAGTCCCGACAATGTTGAGTGGTTGTGGCTGCTTGGCCCCCCTGGGTCAAGGAAGTTTTCAGCATTGGTCCTGGGTGCCATTGCACTCCCCCATTTAAGGCTGGTGTGGAGCTTCTGCTGGATGGACAGGTGGCCGTTACGGCCAGGAGGGCCTTCTTATGCACCAGTTGTGCCCTTTCCTCAACCAGGAGGCCCTTCAGACAGTCACCTGTGCCCTGGTCACTTCACAACTGGACAACTGCAATGCACTCTACATGGAGCTGTCCTTAAAGACCATGCTAAAACTGGTTCACAATGAAGTAGCACGAGTAGACACAGGCACTTCTTGTTATGCCCATGTGTCATCACTACTGCGCAAGTTATATTAGCTGCCAGTTGGCTTCCAAGTGCAACTCAAGGTGCTGGTCATTATCTATAAAGCCCTTAATGGCAATTATCTGAGAACTATAAGCCTGTCAGGATCTTTGCGAGCAACTATTGAAAGGCTATTAGAAAAGTTTATGTAGGCAAATAGCTAGTGAGTTCAAATGTTAATTTAGACAAGAACCATAATTTGTATACCCGCTTGCTTGTTCCTGCCATAAAGGTCAAGAGGGAGGGTGGACAATAAAACAACAGAGGCCAGGTGCACCGTTATCTCCCTGAGAGGTGCCAGCAAGGCCGGCTGGCCGTGAGACCCAAGAAGAGGCGCGGAGAGGAATCGAGCGGGAAAATTAGAATAGAGGGGGGTTAAAAGGAGAGCTGTGGCCGGGGAGGGTCAGTCTCAGCAACCTATGGAGTGTTGTATGTTACTTCTCAATAAAGAAATCTTTAGTGGAAACAAATAGGCTCCAGAGGATTTACTGGACCTCGGAATTGAGCGTGCAGACTGACATTTTGCTAAGACTCCTTCCAAAACCCGAAGAGGGGTTTACCCGAGGGAGAACCTCTCGCCCTGGACAAAGGGATCAGGGTGGATTCTCTAATTAGAGAACCATTAGTGTGGATTTAAAAAGAGAGAGAGAGATTAGATACTGGATCAGAAAAGACTCATGGAAGATTAATTCTGCATATGGTGACGGCAGCCAGATTATTATACGCACAAAGACAGAAGAGTATTGAAATTCCCACAATGGAGGAACAGACTGTAAAACTTAGAATTAGTGGAAATGGCAAAAGTGACCTGTTTGGTCATGGAGAAGACAACACAGGCTTTTCAAAATCTTCTATGGACCTTTTGCTAAAAGAAGAAAAAAATGAAATGATGATTTATGGATTTAATGATTGAAAAATATGAGAATTTAATATGGGGTTGAAGGGATTTCTGGAAGAGATAAGAGAGAGGGAGACAATGGGTTTGTCAATATCTGTTGAAGAGAAGATCCAAAGTCATCATAGTTCATGATTTTTTTCTTTTTCTTTTCTCTTTTTTTGCACCTTTTTCTTTCTTTTCTATCTTTTTCTTTAGATTTGTCTTTTATTTCATGTGAAATTCTCAATAAATATAAATTTAAAAAAGGAAAAATAATGGGGTTACTCTTCCAAATTTGTTAACTTTTTCTTAATTTTCATTGTAAATTTGTATTAGCTTTATATTTATAGTTCATAGTTTTTTATCAACTCATTGCGTCACAGTCACAGTTAAATGTCAATATGTTACAGCTCATTTTTTTTAAAAAAAGGGTTAGGGTTCATTGGAGTGCACTGCGGTGTCAGGTGTAGACAGCCAGGGAGATGACCCTGGAGAAAGAGCCCAGCGGCTGTCAGGGAAGCGCCCAGTGCAGAAGAAAGATGCATCCAGAGAGGTGGAGAAGTGTTACAGAGAGTTCCCTGGGATATAAGAGGGAGAGAAAGGAAGACATGGACAGACTTGCAAGATACTGTTATTATAACCTCTATTAAAGTATAGTTCTGGTCTTCCTCTGGAGTCTGGTCTACCCTGAAGGGCGGTCACAGGGACTAAGCAGCAGCAGCAGCAGCAGCAGCAGCAGCAGAGGTCTTCCAGGGTTGAAGCAAGGCAGCCGGCTTGTGGGAGCTCTTGCACTGTCCTGTCCCGTGCAGAGCCACCGCTCCCTTGGGATTCATAGATGAGAGAGAGCCCTGAAGAGATGCTAGAGAACTGCGTAAATATATCTCAGTGACATGCGGTGAAAGGGTAGCCCTGCCCTAGTGTGACAACAGAGGTTGGTCCAGGTAGGGCAAGCGATGGGCTGCTCAGTGGCTTCGTGCCCATAGATTGTTGGCGATAGTGTTGTTTTGCTTGGAGAATGACCACTTGTGGATCTTCCCTATTTGCTTCCAGCAAATGGCACAAAGCCAGAAGGAGGTGGAACGAGAACAAGAGGTGCTGAAGCAGCATGAGAAGGCATGCCAGATGTATGAGGCACGCATTGATGCTCTCACAAAGAAGAAAGATGCTTTGGAGAAGAAGAAGGAGCTAGCCATGAAAAAGGTACTGGCTGAGGTGTTAGCTAGCTGGTTTGGTCTGGTTTGCGTGAACCAGTTGTTACGTATTTGCATACATTACAACTATTCTTCCAACTCTGCCCCAACAACCAAACAGATGCTCATCCGGGCAGGGTGGGAAGGCAGGCCCAGACTGCAGTAGGCAGGGATTTTGCTTTTCACGTGTAGGAAAACCAGGCCCTTGGAAGGACTGGACCTGTGGCCTTCCTCTCCGCTTTGTTGGAATAAACTGATACTGTGTGCTTGTCCAGGCAGAGCTGAAAAATGGAGAGTGTGTATCTCAAGCTCTCTTGTTATATCTTCAGATCTCTTAGTAAAGCAACCAGGACCAAACCTTCTAGCCTTTTATGATTAAGAAATACATATAGATGAATGTGAAATCTTTGTATGAAAAGATCTGCATTTCTCAGTGGTTTCAATTTAGCTTTAATTAAATTGCATTATTTGATTATGTCAAGCTGCGGAAAGTGCTCAGAAAAATGAGAATCCCAGAACACCTCCTTGTCCTCCTGAGAAACTTATATACAGGTCAGGAAGCCACAGGACAGACAGAAGGTGGCAAAACAGACCGGCTCCAGGTTGGCCAAAGAGTCTGACAAGGTTGCACATCCTCTTCTTATTTATTCAACCTGTATGTGGGATATACATTAAGGGAAGCTGGATTGGAGAAAGAGGAGTGTGGTTTTAAAATTGGAGGGAGAAACATCAGTAACTTGCAGTATGCTGATAACACTACCCTGATAACCAGAAATGCAAAGGATCTGCAAGCTCTAGTAATTAATGTCAAGGAGCACAGTGAAAAAAATGGGACTAAAATTATATATAAAGAAGACCCAACTAATGACAACATGTAGAACAAATAGCCTTAGAACTGACAATGAAGATGTTAAACTGGTGGAGAGGTTCTTCCTTTTAGGATCAACCATCAACAGTAAAGGAACCAGCAGGCAAGAAATATGCTGCAGACCAGCGCTTAGTAGAGCAGCCATGAAGGCCTTGGAGAAGAGATTCAAATGCCAGGGTGGGTCAATACCGACAAGGGTCAGAATTGTGCAAGCCGTGGTGTTCCCTGTGACCCTCTATGGAAGCGAAAGGTGGACTTTGAAGACGCAAGAGAGGAAGAGCATTGATGCCTTTGAACATTGGGGTTGGAGAAGACTCCTGAGAAGACCATGGACAGCCAAGAAAACAAACCTATCATTGAACAAATCAGTCTGGAGTTCTCCCTCGAGGCACAAAAGACCAGGCTCAAATTATCCTACTTCAGACACATTGTGCGAAGACCCAGCTCCCGGGAGAAGGCTCTGGTGCTGGGAAGGGTGGAAGGAAAGAGGAGGGGAGGACGACCAGCAGCAAGGGGGAGGGGCTCAGTTACAGCGTT